TAATAATAAATTAAATTAATTTAAAATTTTTATTAATAGACTATATTGAATTGATTTAAAAAATATTAAAAATTAAACCAAATCACATCGCGAACCGCCTTAGTCAAAAGTGATTTTCTAGAAAGCTATAAATGCATTTTTTGTTGACGGCAATAAATTTTTTTTACTTATTTTTTAAATGATAACTAAACACAATAAAATATAAAAAATATTTTTTTGAAAATTAATTTCCAATTAACCAAAACGAACCCTAAATCCTAACAACTACTTCTATTTAATTAGGTGCCTGTTTTCTTTATTCACATAACTAATTTTCCATAAGCAGACGATTCCCTTGTCCTGACGAAATGCAAAGTAACTTCAGCCCCCAAAAAAATAAATAAAGGGGAAGACTACCACATTTTCTTGGAATGGCTATTCCTTGTGTGGAATACGGCCAGTGGGGTTAAGTAATGACTGCTCTGCATTTTCTTCTTCTTCTTTTTCTTTTCTTTTTTTTTTTTTGACAAAAACAATAGTTAGTAAATTAGGCTAGTTGACTGTTAAAAACTGAAAATTCAATTCCGAAATGACAGTAAATGTCACCACCGCTTCATTGAAAAACACGACCCAACCAGTGAACTGCATGGTGGAGTTATTTCTATTGAATACTAAAGAAAGCAGTAATACCTTTCTAGAAAATGTAAAACGTGTAGACAGCACCAACAACGTAATATAATGCAGTCTTCCAACTTTCCTCATTTTAGTTGAGAAAGAAAGCAAGAGGATAACTGGTCAGGAAAGCACTAGGAATAATATACCGAAAACTAATTAGGAATAAGTGGAAGACTAACTAGGGAAAATTAGAGACTTGGGGGTATTAACTTAAAGATGAGTTTTTTTAGTAATTTTTAATGATAATTTATTGAAATTAGTAATTTAAAAATTTTTTTTCCTAATTTTTATAGGCCTGATTGACCTTTGCGGTGGTGTGATAGATCAAAAAGTAGGTAAGTCATTTTTCTCATTCCATTGGTATATTTTATTTATGCACCATTATACTACCTTTCATTATTTTTTAATATGATTCCATCTTTTAACTTATCCCTTAATTTTTTATTATATGTATATATTATATTTATTATTTTAAATTATATCTGTACTCACTTTCATTTTTATATTAATAATTTATTTGTTATATTCTTTTTTTTTATGCTTCCTTCTCTATTATTCTTCCTTAATCACCTCTTTCAATATTCTCAAAATAATTACATATATTTTTTATTTTGAAAAAATAATTTAAATACCTTCTAATTTGATACATCACTAACACCTAGGGAATTCACTTATTAAAATATAATATAAATGCAGCTGATTTAAATAGTTTCTCCATGTTATATATAAATGACTAAATCTTTAAGTTTTTCATTTTTAATTCTAGACCAAAAAGTATTAAATTTTTATAATTGTGTTATAGAGTATATTGAATGAAAAGGTGTTTGTACCTATGTCCTTTATTTTGAGTTTGTTTTAAATTAATTATTATTTTATTTAAGTAGATAAATATATTTTTCTGTTTAACACTTTAATTATTTATTTTATCATAAAATTTTATATTGTATTTTTTATTTTAAAAAATAATATAAATATATATAAATTGACCCTAAATTTTTAATTTAAAGAAAAAGGTAACCGCTATTTTATAACACAGTAGGAATAAGTGGAAGACTAACTAACTAGAAAAAGCTAGGAACAACGTAAGGCTGACTTAATGCGTTGGGAATATATTTAGTATTTGTCTCTTCTATTTTTTTTTTTTTTAAACAAGTTGTCAAAGGGCGGGTTCAAAGCCCGCTCATAAGAGAATGGGAATGCACCTCGAGTTGACAAGTTATCAATTGACCCAAAAAATCAGGTGCTATCTCTTCCATCTCTTAAAAATTAGAAATTAAGAGGAAATTACTTTATTCATCTTACAATATTATTCATATCATTATTTTATTGGATTATAAAATACTATAAAAAATAATTTTATTAAAAAGCTCATGAGAGATTCATATTTTATAAGTTGAATTATACATGTAAATATGTAGCTTAGATATTAAAATTATTAAATTATTTTTTATAAAACAATGAGGAATAGTTTCATTAAATATATATTTTAGAAATTTTAATATTCAAATTATGTTTTTAATATACAATCTAATCTATAAAATATTTTTTAAAAAAATAAAATAAAAACAAAAGTAAGGTCATTTTAAAAAAATAAAATAAAAACAAAAGTAAGGTCATTTTAAAAAAATAAAATAAAAACAAAAGTAAGGTCATTTTAACTTTATATTTCAAAAAGAAAAAGGGATAAAAAAAACAGATTGGAGATCGGCTCTTGTAGGAGAGTCGGTTTCTTATAAAAAAAAACCCATTACAATGAAAGTCTTAATCAAGAACTCTCCAATGAAAGGGAATATATCCTATTGAAGCTGCTCCAATAACCTCATTGATGCAGTTCAAATGAAATCTAACACTAAACCTCGTATTCAAATTAATATTATATACATTCAAATTGGAGCCGGTTTTGTGAATTAAATCAAACGAATCAAATATCACTGCTGAATCATCTTTTTCATTAAATTTTGATAGAGGTGCTTCTGCAGTTCTGCTTCTTTGTCACTGCTGCAATTCTGTCACTAAAAGTCCACTCAGTCCCAAGTTTCCGATTAATGTAAAAATGATTTGAAAAAGTATGAAACATGGTCCCTTGAGGAATGTAGAATGTGACCCACAAGTTCATTGTGAATTGAAATCACCAGTACGTAGGTCGTAGTAATATGCTGCCCTTGGCACGGTGAATACTAAAGAGGACACGGTCCAGTGCTCATCCTCAAGTCTGCATTCATTATGTTCAAAAGAAATGAGATCGGTTATTCGGCCGCCAGCTGTGCAGAATGCCAGACTGGTTGCATCTGCCAACTCCATATAAAGCATAAGACCCCAAACATATTGCGGGGTACCAAAATTAATTAAACCTAAATAGACTCAAAAGGCATAGAAATAGTTGTAATCATACGTTATAAAAGATAAGAAAAATTCAATCACATATATTTATAATCAGAAAAAGTAAAAATCAAAATAAGTTGACATTACAAATATTAAGACATTTAATTCTAACCACATGATATAAGAGTTAAGATATAATATAAGATTTAAGTAAAATTTATTATCTCACTTATCTTATAATTATAACTAAATATTCTAATACTTTTTAACTAAATATTCTAATATTTTTAACGTCCCCGCATCCTCATTTACAATATAGAAACATAATGTTTAAAGCATCTCGTTATCATTGTTATCAAAATCTAGATTTAAATTTTAAAATCTTACGATTTTGCGATTTCAGCAAGACATTTCGTGTAAAATCTATACTAAAATCTGAAATTTATAAAATCTAGATTTTACCGTGAAATCAAGTAAAATCTCGATTTTACCTTTTGTTTGGCGGTTGGACTTTAACTTATTTTCTTTCGGCCTTCTCATTTTTGGTTAGTGAGTTTTGACTAGATAACCCATAAATTAAGTTCATTTTTCATTTTAAAAGCCCACAACCCACACAACTCAACCACAAATCAACATTTTAATCGAGAATTCGGGACAAATTTGATTTAACTATCTAAAATTCTAAATTTAAGTCATCTTCTTCGTTTAATTTATTTATGTTGTTGGATATTTAGATTTTAATCAGCTAATTTCAAGTTTTTAACTCTAAATTTGATTTACTGTTATTTAATTTTGATTTTATATAATTTATTATATATTATAAATTAAATTTTGTAAAATCTCGATTTTACCGATTCGATTTTACGATTCCGATTTCACCTAACCAAAACGATTTTAAGTAAAATCTCGATTTTGACAACCTTGCTCGTGATAGTGAAAATAAATTGTGTTGGCTAAAAGAGATACTCCATTATGTAGAGAACACAACAGGCCATTAATACAAGAAACTAGTTATTGTAATCTCATAAAGGACTCACGAGTTAGTGGGCAATCGAGTCAATAATTCCAGTGGGCGATAGATTTTCTTAAGAGAAAAACAAAATTGAGTATTTTGATTAGAACCAAAAAGAAAATACAAGGCGTTATATTAATATATAAGAGAAATTGAATTGAGTATGCGAACGTCTGTCTCCAATCAGAATACAAATTAAACATTAGCCCTAAGGAATCACCCGGAATTCCCTAATGTACCGGAGAAGCATTATGCCGGTGACTCCTGCTTCAACACACAACCCAATAAATCATTGAAAGCATACTCCACATCATCAGAGAGGGGATGGAAACAAAATATTATTTGATTAGTACAACTTTCTTAATTTCTCTTATTGGGGAGAGAATAATGTAATCACATCTGCCAGTCGGTCTGGTTCTCATCTTCCAAACCTGCATTTGATGTGTTCAAAAAAAGGTTTATGTACTCTGCAGTGTAGGATAGAAAATTGGTTTTGACTTCTACATAAAGGATAATACATCAAACATATGAAGGGTAGCAAATCATGGACATGGTTTTACTCAACCCTGACTAATACCAAAGGCATAGAAATAGCACCAATTTTCTCCCACAAGACCAAAAGTTGCAACCATATAGATAAAATCAATCATGAAATGAGCTGCACATCATATTGTAAACTGACCTTAAAGGCTGAAAGCTGAGATTACTGCATCATCTGCAATAGTGACTGTCAATGTTTGACTGCCCAGCAATAAAAGCAAGCTAGATTCAAATAACAAAATAACTTCAGAAGGTTTCCATTATTAATTAGTTGACAAAGAGCAAGCAGCATTAACAGAAATGAACCACAAACAAGTTGGAAGAAATGCGAAAGGAAACAAGGAAAAGAAATCTTTTATATGTTTAAACTGTATTCTAGAAAGCATGTATGGCCAATAGCTATCTAGAACCTTAGATCATTAGAACTCCTATGCAAAACATTTGTGAACTAATAGGAATCACCTGGAGTTACATCAATGGAGGAGGCATTTATGCCAGTGATTGCTGCATCAATACTCGTTAACATTCCATAACTAATATGAATTTTAAATTTTTATTAAATTTTCATCAATTGGAACCATTTTCTTTTGTTGCAGTATGTCATCGCTCACAACTACTATTAGTAGTAATAATGAACTAAAGCTATATATGATGGTAATCTATTGTCTTATTTCGTACAAAGATTTAAGACTCTTGGAGATACTTTAGAACTCTTTAATCACATTCAGAGTTATAAATCTCGTCAAGTTCTCTTTCTAAATTTGCTTTCTGTTTTTGAAGTTGAAAATAGTATTGAATACTATTTGGCTTATAAAGTATTTGGAAAACTCCTTTTGTCTTTAGATAGAGAAGGCATTCAGTTGTTTACTTGCAAAGTTATTATAGTAAAACTTGTTGAAAAACCTGATGATGGAAAACTAATACCTATTAAGAGAAAATCAATGTCTCCTGCGAAAAAAATAAAATTTTGTACATTTCAGATTTTTATAGTTTTTTTTTTTATAAAGGTACTATATAAGTCCTTAAGTAGTGTATGGATGACTATGAGGTCACTTATAACTTACAAAGTATTTATGCCTCCAAAAATAAACACACAAAAGAGTGGTCTTTTCATTTTGACAATTTACAAAAAAGTACTTTATAATTTATTATAATATTGCCTTTAATTAAATTCGTACCAAGTAACTTAGCCTTTATTATTATGTTAATATTATTTCTTCTTCTAGTTAAAGATGATGAACAAAAGAAATATTCACATAAGTGTGAAAAGCTTATCAGCTTTTTAAAGACAATCAATCAAAAGGCCAAGATTAAGCAATTTACAACATTAGACTTTGAATTTGAATACTTTTATCAATGCATTCGGCTTGTTGGTTTTGGTAAGTGTAACTATTGTTAATTCAAGTGAATCAAATTTTAATTGTTGTTCATTTTTTACAATGAAAATATTGGGAAGTGAGTTATGGTGTGATAAAAATACTCAAATTCAAAGTCTAATGTTGTAAATCGCTTAATCTTGGCATTTCATTAATTGTCTTCAAAAAACTAATAAGTTTTTCACACTTATGTGAATATTTCTTTTGTTTATCATCTTTAACTATAAGAAGAAATAATACCAACATATTAGTAAAGGCTAACTTACTTGGTACTAATTGAATTAAAGTCAATAGTAGAATATATTATAAAGTACCTTTTTGTAAATTATCAAAATGAAAAGACCACTCTCTTGTGTGTTTATTTTTGGAGACATAAATACTTTTCAAGTTATAAGTGACCTCATAGTATAGTCATTCAATACCTTTATAAAAAAAACTATAAAATTCTAAAATGTACAAAAGTTTTTTTTTTTTTTCTCTCAAGAGACATTGATTTTCTCCTAATAGGTATTGCAAGAGACATTGATTTTCTCATAATAGGTATTGGTTTTACATCATAGGTTTTTCAACAAGTTTTACTGTAATAACTTTGCAAGCACGCAACTAAACACCTTCTCTATCCACAAAAAACAAAAAGGGTTTTCCAAGATTTATAAAAATAGAACTTGACAAGATTTATAACTCTAAATGTGATTAAAGAGTTTTAAAGCATCTCCAAAAGTCTCAAATCTTTGTATGAAATAAAACAACAGATTACCATCAAAATATAACTTTAATTCATTATTATTACTAATAGTAGCTATGAGCGATGACATACTACAACAAAAAAAAAACAGTCCCAATTGATGAAAACTTAATAAAAATTTAAAATTTATAATTACGATAATTGAAAACAAACCTGCAGAAATAAAAGCCCAAGATAATCAGTCTGCAGAAATGAAAGCCAATAATCTGAGCAAGGAGGAAAAAGGAGAAAATTACCAAAGATCTAGAGGTCTAAGGGTTAGGAGTTCTCATTGAGTCATTTGGAGGAAACTAAAAGTCTTTCGCATTTTTCTTTCCTTTTTTCCTTTAAATTTGTGTTTGTTTTGGATTAATCCTGATCCTTGATTAATATTGATCCAATCGATCCAACAGTTCAAGTATATTAGGCATGCATTGCCACTCAACTCTCAATTCTACTGTTGGATTAAGTCAAACAGTAGCACACAGCGTGGATCAGTATATCCACTGTTAGATTTGTTATGAGCCAAAAGGTTGTAATTTAAACTAAGAATTTTTCTATGGAATTTTTTAAATGCACAAGTTTACATTTTTAACATCTTCATATTAAATTTGTAAGGACATTCAATCATAAATTATTAAATGCGTAGAGTAATGTATATCTCAATTTTATTAAATTTATCATTTTTTTAATGTCAAGATGTTTTAATTTTTTTCTTTTTTTTTTTTTAATTAATTTTCATTAAAAAAAATGACTTAAAATTTATCAATTGTACAATTAGCTAACGACTTAACTTACATTAAAGTGGAAGTGAGAGATTTCGAGTATGAGCCACATGGACGTGAGATAGATTAAG